AATAGCATTTTAATAATTCTGATGTTTGTAGGGGTCTTTCGAGTTGATTTCTAGCACATTTATATACTGTCTTCAGCATTGTGTGAAATTTGTAATCTTGTTTTATGTACTCTGAAGGTAGGGTGTTAAGATTAATGTTACTTTTTGTAATGTAGGGGATTGAGTGTTTTGTATATTATAGTGTGTTGACTTGATCTGGGGTTATTTTATGCAGGGATTATTGAGAAAGATGGCGAACGATTAGAACTTGAGAAGAAAAGAATGAAATTTAGGGCAATAGCATTTTAATAATTCTGATGTTTGTTGGGGTCTTTCGAGTTGATTTCTAGCACATTTATATACTGTCTTCAGCATTGTGTGTAATTTGTAATCTTGTTTTATGTACTCTGAAGGTGGGGTGTTAAGATTAATGTTACTTTTTGCAGTGTAGGGGACTGAGTGTTTTGTAGATTAGAGTGTTGACTTAATCTGGGGTTGTTTTATGCAGGGATTATTGAGATGGATGGCGAAAGATTACAACTTGAGAAGAAAAGAATGACATTTAGGGCAATAGCATTTTAATAATTCTAATGTTTGTTGGGGTCTTTCGAGTTGATTTCTAGCACATTTATATACTGTCTTTCGCATTGTGTGTACATTGTAATGTAAGAATATGGGATAATGAGAAAGGAACATGTGAAACCACTTTGAATGGACATAAAAGGCACTGTAACAATCATCCGATACAAGCAGGTTGGATCTTTGCTTGCTTGTGGTAGCAAAGACAATGACATTATTTTATGGGATGTAGTTGGTTAGGGGATCCTATGGCGTTTGGGTCTGCACAAGTTTCTAGCTCATGTTACTACTACTTTCATTTTTTTGCTTTATTTCCCATTCAATCCTAAGAGTCGTGTATGTATTTATATTTTTAGGGTTTGGTGTACAAAATTAACATGACATTTCCCACCCCCAAAAAAATATCTGATAAAGTGATCATCTTGTACATTTGGTTCACATGAAAGAATGATTAAACCTTGTCAATCTGATGTCATTATCAGTTTGCCAACATTTATAATTGCAGAATGCGTTCTTATATATTTGGATCCAGATTCAAGCCGCGGTATAGTTAGATGGGCATCTAAGACATTTTCTACAGCTGTATTCTTCTTATTTGAACAGGTTGTGGAATGTTTTAAACCTCAACTTTTCAATTTTCTTTGGGTTTCTCCATTTCTAATGCTGACATTGCCTGTATACTGGTTCTCATGCTTTCACTTTCATGTTTCTAGCTTCCACAGAAACTGAATTTGTTTATACTATAATCGATTGACTGATATTCGTGCTGTTCACAGATTCATCCAGATGAC